TTGTTTTTGGACTTGGTCGCCATTGGCGGAGTGATTCAATTGTTTGGAAGTTGTAAGAAGACGAGAGAATACGGATAGTAGTAAAATACATTCATTGTAAACTATTTGTTGATAGACTTGTTTCAGAGAATTAATTGATTGTAACCACGGAAGAATACAATTTCTTGTCGTTCATTATGTTTTGCAGTTAAACTCGACAGTGTACACAGTGTGAGTTTCGATTCGAGTGTCTTCAGAAACAATGGGAATATAGGGTTAACTTCCTCGACACCTACAGTGTTAGTTGAAATCTTGAATGTGCATGAATATTGCAGATACATCGTTGATGTGTGAATGCGGACAATCTTCTGTTAACTGTACGCTTCAGTTTCGAAGTAATCATCACTCTCCAAAACAACGCCCCCAACGGATATCTCAGTATCCAGTTGGCTGATCGACCTTCCAAGTAGTTAACCAACTTTCTCCTTATTGGAATATGAGGAAATAGAAGACGAAACTAGAATGAATGTTCTATCATATGTGTATGGCTATATGCCACGGTAACACCGACAACCAGTATTACCACTAAGACTACTGAAGAACTACTACTCTACTAGCTCTAGTTAGTTAAAATTGTATAAATAAAAAAGTATAAAAAATGATTAAGTTTACAAATTATTGAATAAGAAAGTGACCTCTAAAATTCTTGTTAGCTTCAATTACAACAATGTTGTTTTTAACAAACGTGACTTGTTCAGTCGTACGACGACAGATTCTATTAATTAGCCACCAGCTAATGAATAATCATGATCAATGATCATCAGTCTATGTGTGAGAGAGCAACTCTTCTAGTCTGTTTCCCCCTCTCAATACTCCGTTGATTTTGTTACATAATTATTTGGCGTGATTTATTCTGTGAAATGAAATACGTTTTATTATCTATGTGACATTCCTGTGTATTTTGAGGATGTTCAGAAATCACACAAACATTCTCATTATCTTCATTTCACTTCACTTCACTTCTTTGGGTACCTGGGAAGTATCGTTTCAACTACAGGCGGAATTGACGAGCATATCAAAGCCAGAAAACGGAAAAGCAAGACAAGCTTTCATTACCCTTAAGTCTGTGTGGAGGTCAACGGCCGCCACCATCAAAAATAAGATCCGGATTTCCAACTTTAATGTGAAGTCAGGGCTACTTTACGGATCAGAGACTTGGCGAATCATAAAGAGTATCTCCAACAAACTTCAGACAATCATCAACAGTTGTCCTCGCTCAATACACAAGATCAGGTGGCCGGCCAGAAGAGATCAGCAACAGGGATCTCTGGCCATGAGCGAACCAACCAGGAATCTATTGTGAAACAAATAGGCAGGAAGAAATGGAGATGGATTGGTCGTATACTGAGGAAAACATCAAGTGACCTCACTGGAAAGGCCATTGCTCGAGTGGAACCCGAAAGGGAAGCTCCGAGTTGGTCGTAGGTTCAAGGGTAACTTGGAGGAGAAGAAGTGAAGAGGCGATTAAAGCATGTGGACAGACAAGAAGCGGAATGAAACAGTTGGCCGAAAACAGGAGGCAATGGAGACGCGCAGCTGAAGGCCTACGTTCCTCTAGGAATTAAAGCATATAATAGTATAATAATAATGCATAGTTCAAAACACCCCTTCAGCAGCTGTGAAATGTCAATGACTTATCACAAACTTTCCGAGATTTGAGTCATCCTCACCTCAAAGAACACAACCAAAGTCGCACAACAATTCACTGCCAATGTTATCATCACAGAGGCACAATGAGACGCGTCAAGAGTTTTGGTAAACTAGGAAGAAAAACAATCAGTGTAAATAAGTCGATAGGCGACATGCCGTCAATGGGACGTTGACGTATGAATGCAACCTGAGAGAAAAGACGAGAATTCCTACTTGAATGACTGTGAGCATTGCACGATTGTTTTTGGACTTGGTCGCCATTGGCGGAGTGATTCAATTGTTTGGAAGTTGTAAGAAGACGAGAGAATACGGATAGTAGTAAAATACATTCATTGTAAACTATTTGTTGATAGACTTGTTTCAGAGAATTAATTGATTGTAACCACGGAAGAATACAATTTCTTGTCGTTCATTATGTTTTGCAGTTAAACTCGACAGTGTACACAGTGTGAGTTTCGATTCGAGTGTCTTCAGAAACAATGGGAATATAGGGTTAACTTCCTCGACACCTACAGTGTTAGTTGAAATCTTGAATGTGCATGAATATTGCAGATACATCGTTGATGTGTGAATGCGGACAATCTTCTGTTAACTGTACGCTTCAGTTTCGAAGTAATCATCACTCCCAAAACAACGCCCCCAACGGATATCTCAGTATCCAGTTGGCTGATCGACCTTCCAAGTAGTTAACCAACTTTCTCCTTATTGGAATATGAGGAAATAGAAGACGAAACTAGAATGAATGTTCTATCATATGTGTATGGCTATATGCCACGGTAACACCGACAACCAGTATTACCACTAAGACTACTGAAGAACTACTACTCTACTAGCTCTAGTTAGTTAAAATTGTATAAATAAAAAAGTATAAAAAATGATTAAGTTTACAAATTATTGAATAAGAAAGTGACCTCTAAAATTCTTGTTAGCTTCAATTACAACAATGTTGTTTTTAACAAACGTGACTTGTTCAGTCGTACGACGACAGATTCTATTAATTAGCCACCAGCTAATGAATAATCATGATCAATGATCATCAGTCTATGTGTGAGAGAGCAATCTTCTAGTCTGTTTCCCCCTCTCAATACTCCGTTGATTTTGTTACATAATTATTTGGCGTGATTTATTCTGTGAAATGAAATACGTTTTATTATCTATGTGACATTCCTGTGTATTTTGAGGATGTTCAGAAATCACACAAACATTCTCATTATGTTGATTTCACTTGTCTACACTTATCTCAAACTGAGTAATCCCTATGTTATTTCAAACAGTATTGATGTGTAGTGATTCACACTTTATTTTGAGTATTATCTGCTGGGTAATATTAAATAAGCGTCCTGACTGGGATTGCATTTTGAATATTGGATCCTAAGACAGTTACATCATCACTCACAATTTCTCACAGATCACTACAAAAGCCTTCAGATGGTGTTCAGTTAAGCGATATTTCCATCAATCTACATGTGAAAGAAGATCTAGTGAATATATTTCATGCAACACCGAATAAAGCAAAATATTCTGAAAATGCACTGTCACCATTCTTACTCCTACTTAAATCCTTTGACAAAATTTCTGCTCGATGATTGCTGGGAGATGTGTCACTCCATAATCATAGAAGATGTGTTCCGAGTTCTTCTATCTTCCAATCACACAAAAACTGTTCAGGCTATTGACGTCTAAGTATTGAAGTTGTACCATCCTTTTGACATGAAACAGGTTGAGTGACAGTCATTTAATGACGAGTAAGGCAAATTTACAATGTTATCTACACGAAACCTTATTACACTTCGTTATCTGAAGTCTTGAACGCGACTCACATTCTGCCGGGAGTTATGATGTAGCGAGTATTCACAGATATGATTTGTCACTGTGATCATTCGGAATTGAGTTTTCATTTCCACAAATACTTCTGAGTGAAGTGTTTGCAAAATTGAACACCGAAGGCATTTTGAGGGAGATCTAAACGGGGATCTGAGGGTTCTCTTGAAAATCAGTCTACAGGAAGTCCACGTTGAATGTTCGATACCTGAATTCGCATAATTTGGTGGCTTTTGGAAGATAGCTGATTCTGATCCACAGTTGAAATCGATGGTGAAATGAAGAGAATCAGGTGTTTTCTCATAAAAATGGATGTCCTTCAAGATTCATTGAGGAAAACACGAATTTAATGCAAAAACCTGAAAGAATTTAGACGGTGGGAAAAGACTGATGGACGTTGAGCTGAGAGGTCATGCGGCAGATAATAATCTGAACAACAGCGCATAAATTTCACCTAGAAAGGCCTTCTGTTCAAGTAGGCTACGGGTCAATGTCTACAGCTGACAAATAATCAGTGGTTGTGTGAAGAATGAACTGCCATCAATTCAATGTGTGTTCCTTTCGAGGTAGTTATATTGGCAGCACGATGTGTAGACTTTCCAAAGGCATCTGTGAACATTGTCTGGCTTCGTTTGTAAAAGGATAAAGCAATTCAGATACTACCTGAAACGTCGAGCACTTGACGAACTCAAATCACGTAACTCCGTTACAGTCGTCTTTCAATATTATTTACAATGTGAGGTCAAATAGTACAAAGGCTGTTAGGTTTCGACATTTGTGTTAGCCATTCGCCAGTAAAACAGCAAACTCTGTGTGCAGAAAACGTTTGTCAAGTATCTCAATCGGCCATGGTCTTAACCTCTTCATTAGTTGTTCCTTGTAAATTCATTATTTTTAAAATGATTTACTTGCGTTTACTATAATGATAGATTCACCATTGTCACTCTAACATTTTCATTTTGCACGTTTTCTGATCGTCTCCACACCTGTTGAGTGGAAACTCATCTACCTTTCTGCTAACTGAATAACAATTTTAACCTTTTCAAATTTTCAACTCTCTCTACCTTGACACTGTTCAGTATCACCCAATCAATCGTTTGTTTTTTAGTTTTGAAGTCATTTCTAAGTACGTTTCTCAATTACGTCACCCATATTACACTATAATGGACTACTGTACATTCTCGGTAAATGCAATTAGGACTCTGCATCAGCAGAAGATTGCTTCGTCGATAAGGAAAACTTTCCTCACTGAATTGTCATATATTATTCACATAAATGAACACTGCGATTACTCTTCAGTTTCATCCACATCCAGTAGGAATTGTGGAATATGACCGACTTGTTGTCTAAGAGAGAATATTCATTCTAGCGTGAAACCAAGAATACTAAAGTCATGCTGAACTTACTCCAACCAACCCACACACTCACACACACTCACTCCTTTGACCAACCACCACCAACTAATCAACACACAGGGCCTAAATTAACAAATGAAAAACAAGATAAGCACTACTATTCTTATCAACCGACGTATGCATTACAACACTACAACTCACCATCAGCAAGAGTATAAAAGCTGGAAAGTAGAACCAGAGAAAACAAAGGAAGCAGAGAATATGTTCAACTCAATGTACCGTTACATATCTGTGATAACGCTGCTGGTGTTTGCCACCATGATCAAGGGTGAGCATATATTACCATGACTGTGCATTTGTGACTCTTTATTTTCAAATAAAACTTTTTGGCATTATGATGAATGATATTGTTCTATCCTATCGATGTTATCCAAGACTATTCAATGATCATACTTCTGAAAGGAAACTGATTGTGTTTCCAACACCACTCGCAGTGTCACCTGAAGTCATCACTCTCTTTCAATGACGAATAATAATTCGATGTCGACGATCCCTCCATTTCTGAAATAGGAAGTGAGTGGAGTAAAGATTGTATTCTCTGCTTTCAGGGAAGTTTGATTCTCCAAATGATCTTTTGCTGACCACCAATCGAAAGCATCACATATCCACCAACCTAGCTATTTAGACGTTCGAAATGAGCACATTCTCACATCATATATACGTGTTTCGGTTTGAACAATAATCGCTGTTTTCCTCATTTTATCATTTTCTAAGGCCAGTCAACTAAGTTAGAAGTCATCAAAGATAAACTACGGAGGACTGAAGGTAAGATGACTGACTTCATGTGGATACATAATAATACTGTTCTTATATTAACCTACACAAGCTTTTGTGTACATATTGTTCCTCGATGTTTTGTCACATTCTGTCGCTTACAATAATCCGTCTCTTGTGCTGTATAATAAATGATTCTCACTTTCGCCTTCATAGGTGTTGAACAGAAATATGCTGATTTGGTTCTCGAAAAAGAAGCCAAGATTTTTCAATATGCATGTAAACAATTATTTCATGTGCATGATATGATGACTTGGTTAACTTGATTTCTGCATTTCGACTTCGCATGAGATGTTTGTCATATTTTGTTCCGAGTTTTTCCCCATCGTCCAATTCGTAGACATCCTTTGAAATTAGGTATTGTGAATACATGGAGGAGATTGACACGAGATTTACAATAATAATGTCATGTGAAAAATGAGGAACTCATCAACGCGCGTCTGCATATCTCCTTATTCACTTCACATCCACTCACACTCGCTCCAACTGGAAATTGCACACGTTCATGCTGATGACATTTAATAAAGTTTACACACAATGATAACTGTTTTGATATTGATAATATATCGAGCAAAATTACTACTGCCCGTGTTCACAACACTGTTCGAATTATTTTATTCACACATTTATGATTTGTACTCATATATATAGTTCATTAATTTTTTGCTCATTCATGTTTTGTTGTATTCAGAATTATATTCCAAGTTATTGGTAGTTGTACTGAGTCACCCTTGTTACATGTATCCGGTGTGACCCTAATGAATATCGATTCTGTTAAAGTCTCTCTTTCCATTTGTTCATGTTAGTTTTTAGAATACACACATTATTGCAATCGATATTGTGGTTTTTGTCTCATGCATGTGCAGCTATCGATGAATTTTTTTCAAGATTCTTGAAGGCTTGTGTTCCAGTTGGTTGACCTTTGGTTAGGCGTTTATGTTCATTCACCCTTAGTTTGAGTGATCTGTACGTTTGCCCCACATATTAAGTTGGACAGTCAGCACAAGATATTTTGTAAATCAGATTGTTTTTATCCATCATTTTGATGGGATCTTTCAGTGGATTCATTTTCCTCTTGATTAGATTCGTCGGTTTAAACGTTGTTCGAATGCCGATATTCTTGAGGTTTCATTGAGTCGCCTCTGGTGTACCATTTTTATATGGTATTGTGACTGTTTTTTTCCACTCTTCCAACTCGTTATTCACCGGTTTCACCCTCTTTTTACTCATTTTTATGTTATCTTTTATAAATTCTTTACAGTAGCTGTTTTTGACTAGCATTTTGAATAGGACGTTTATTTCTTTACACTGGTCCTCTGGTCTTGTTGTTAGTCTACGTATTCTATCTGCAACACCTTGTATTAAACCTCGTGAATGGATGAGCTCAGTGATAATCAAGGAATCTTCCAGAGTGTGTGGTTTTTCTATATATCGTGGTTTTTATGCTACTGTCTAACAAAGGCAGTTCCCCAATTTCATTCTCGAATTCCATAGTGAATTTTATTGAGTCGATGTGGCTGTTCAATTATTAAACAGCTCAGACTCAATAGTGAAAAACACACACACACAAAAACATGAATGAGCAAAATAAATTATAATAATGAACTATATATATGAGTACAAATCATAACTGTGTGAATAAAACAATTCGAACAGTGGTGTGAACACGGGCAGTAGAACATTTTGCTCAAAATATTACCAATAACAAAACAGTTATCATTGTGTGTAAACTATTGAAATATAATTCAACTTTATTTGATCTAATCTACACTGGTCAAAATTCTACTGATATTGATGATATTTACTTTATTGTAAAGTGAATGCATTACTGTCTAGGCATGCTCCGATAATAACTGATTGGCTCACTGCTGTCCCATTTCATGAAGTCGCTCTCCTCAATTCTCCTTTTTTCTGCTAGCTATGATTAATCATAAAACAGGCAACGACACGACGAAATGTGAGTGATCATTTTTTTTTGAATTTCGATGACTAACAAACTCTTTCAGATATCAACTGTTTAAGAAACTATGACGCACCCTATATAGGAGTTACATTATTCAAAAGTGTGTTCCAAGATTTATGTCAACTGTGTATTCTACTTTTATCCACATATTTATCACATGAGATTTGGTTATTGTACTTGTATATAACATTTTACTTCTGAGTTAGAGAGAACGACGTAGCCACCAGAACACTTCAGTGAGATCTGATAAATATGCAACTTGAACAAGGCATTAAGAAGACAAATTTCGCGAGATGATATCATTTCGTAGTTTCTTTACAACCGCTTTACAACTAACATGGTTAACAATGATAAAATAAAGTTCCTGAAAATTACTCAGTTAAATAAAAACAAAAGTACATACTAATGACCAATCATATTAAGATAGGTCATGTAGTCCAGGGTAGGCGAAGATTGAAGTCTATTGATTTTTGTACACACAGTTTAGGCTGTATGTGATTAATCCAAAGTGCTTCCATCACCTTCAATAACCTTGAATTAGAGTTATGTGAAATAATTGTGAAACAGTCATTAATATTTATTTTGTGACCAGACATTAATAAGTGTTTTGCAATGGATGATGCTGGATTTCTATTAAGATTAATCGCGTTGGGATTTTCGATATGGTTTACTAGCCATTTTGGAATATGTTTTTTTCGACGACATTGGAACATTCTGTTAGTTCTACCTATATAAGTGTCACCGCAGCTGCAGGTGAACTTGTAGATACAGTTTGAAGTAGAGTCCACAGAATTTCGTCCTTTAATCGTAGGAACAGGGATCGAAAATGTTCGGCAAGTGAGAAAAAGAGATGCGGCGTAGAATGTGCGTTTGATGGCTGATCGAAGTCTTTGAGTTGTCAACTGCATAATCTGGTCGCCCTTGAATGGTAGATTAATAAAGATGGCTTTCTTTGGTACAGAAGCTGTCTTTTCGAGATGCGGTTTTTCTTTGCTGTGACAAGTGATAAAGCTCTCCGGATAACCATTAGCTAATAAAACTGAATGTACATGTCGAAGCTCATCCATCAGCGCTCTATTTTTCGTAAACAAACATGGACTGGACAATATCTTCATTTTACCAGTTTTGTTCCTATCCAGTATAAACGTTCCCTAGTGAAATGTTTGTTCTCAAGGGCCCGAAAAATATGCACGAGTGACACACTGATGGATGAGCTTCGACATGTACATTCAGTTTTATTAGCTAATGGTTATCCGGAGAGCTTTATCACTTGTCACAGCAAAGAAAAACCGCATCTCGAAAAGACAGCTTCTGTACCAAAGAAAGCCATCTTTATTAATCTACCATTCAAGGGCGACCAGATTATGCAGTTGACAACTCAAAGACTTCGATCAGCCATCAAACGCACATTCTACGCCGCATCTCTTTTTCTCACTTGCCGAACATTTTCGATCCCTGTTCCTACGATTAAAGGACGAAATTCTGTGGACTCTACTTCAAACTGTATCTACAAGTTCACCTGCAGCTGCGGTGACACTTATATAGGTAGAACTAACAGAATGTTCCAATGTCGTCGAAAAGAACATATTCCAAAATGGCTAGTAAACCATATCGAAAATCCCAACGCGATTAATCTTAATAGAAATCCAGCATCATCCATTGCAAAACACTTATTAATGTCTGGTCACAAAATAAATATTAATGACTGTTTCACAATTATTTCACATAACTCTAATTCAAGGTTATTGAAGGTGATGGAAGCACTTTGGATTAATCACATACAGCCTAAACTGTGTGTACAAAAATCAATAGACTTCAATCTTCGCCTACCCTGGACTACATGACCTATCTTAATATGATTGGTCATTAGTATGTACTTTTGTTTTTATTTAACTGAGTAATTTTCAGGAACTTTATTTTATCATTGTTAACCATGTTAGTTGTAAAGCGGTTGTAAAGAAACTACGAAATGATATCATCTCGCGAAATTTGTCTTCTTAATGCCTTGTTCAAATTTATCAAAGGGACTAATTGTTTTAAATATGCAACTACACTGTCAGACTTAAAACAATTATCTTATCTTATGAGATTCCTCACTGATTAAGTGTTAAGAGGAATGCTTTGCATTGAGGTTGTGGCTTGAAGGATACGTGTTCAGGGAATTTCAATTCTGCTTTCTTCGACATGCTATCAACTTGCTTCAATCTACAACCCAGTTTAACGCCGAATTATGTGATCATTTCATTTAGGATTCACGTGTTCAAAACCCTAAAGTCACGCATCAATTTAAAAGCGCTGAAGTCTCGATTTCGAACAGTCAACTAGCAATTCCAATGGAAATCAGAATTCATTCAAACGATGGAGACATTTATTTCTAAGTTGATAGAAAACAACCTCACAGGAAACGAATGTTTGAAGAGAATCAATTTCGCCCCTATTAAATATCATGAGAATTCGGTAATTGGGTGTAGTCAGTGTCATTCCATTTTGATAACCAGTAGAAGATGTTGAGAAATTATCCTTGAGTATGCGAGGGAATAAAGATCCTGTGATGAGTGCTGTATTAAAAACTATTCTTTTGCATAATCTCTCAATTTTGATTATCATTTTCTGTATTTTCAGGTTTGGCATACATACTCAAATACGATGACCTATATGGTAAATCGACTTTATGACAACTGATTTTTATGTGTGGTTCTTGTCACTTTGTCAGCATCCACTATATAATTTAACCGTTGAGGAAGATTTCTGAGATGGACCGCGTTCCATGAATCTATTCACATTTTTCAAATATTTTTCTAGCACTATTTTTCCAAGATAATAAACATGAATTGATATGATGTTTAAATACATTTACACACAGGTCCTTTCCAAGAAGAGCATTCCCTTCATAAATGTATCTTCGAACAGGGTAAAACTCACTTCGGTAAATAGTTTAATTTTGTATTCTTACTTCACATTCATCCAGTAAACATTCCTACCTAATCTCACCCGTTAAGTTGGTTTTAATTTCAGTTTTGAACCCTCCTGATAATTTGTAGGTACTAACGGGAAAGTTAGGAATGCAGATTTGTAACTCAAGATAACTCCCTTCATATTGATTGGTGTGATGTTTTACTTTCTGATATGTCTGTAGTTGCATGAGTGTTTGTTGGTAATGATACGTTCAGTGAATGATTGCCTTCTCGCTGTTTCAATGAGTTGTTTTTTCCCCCTCTATTTCTTCATCAGCTAAGATGGATGTAGCAAGAGGAGATAACTGTGATCAGTTTAAACCATCAGGAAGCACACAAGGTAATCCGTTTTGGACAACTCACACATGTATTATATTCTGTAAGATTACTGCATTGGAAGATGCTGGAAATGAGTTTCCGAAATTCATCGGGTTAATTTGCGAAAGTCAAATGTATTCTCATATCACACTCATTCACATAATACATCTTGCCTTCAATCTGTTAGTGTTGTCAGTGAATGGGACGTTACAATATCAATATTAAGTGCACAACCAGATGGCTCTCCTTTCACAGTTGCTATCACACATCACAGCTGTAGGGTGAAATGACGTGGATTCTGAAGTCTGTGACATTGTCTGATGTAGTTGAGACTGCAGTTGATGTAATTTAAACACTCCTGTAAGTTGTCATACAAGAAAGATGTGTCAGTCCACCGATGATGAGGAAGTCGAAATTATCTGATTTCAACAGATGATGAGAAATAATGAGCAGATGTAAGTGTTTCACGAAGGTTTTTTGACTGTCTTCAAAGAGGTTGTATGATCAGCATTCGATTGAATGCTCATACAGACTGGCTAGTAATCTGCTTAAACACACTGTACCAAACCAGGAGTTATTTCACAATATTCTCCATGATCACCTTTCACTATTTGATTCTGTGACATTGATTTTAAAAATAAAGGCATGATCATCCAAATTTCAGATATTCAGAAATTGAGGGATGCAGTAACAGAATCATATGGACAAAGAAATAATTATGGCCTATACATCTGTAAGTGCAATCTGTTTTGTCCATGGGTTTTACACACTCCATTTATGTATTAATATCTAATCACAGAAACAAAGCACAAAAGATTCCGCTCATAAGCCTTTAGGATTACATAAACATTGTTCGCTTGACAATGGTTATGTATTTATAACTGAAATCAGTAATACATTTGTCTTGAAATATCGAGGTTTCCAGACAACTGTGCATTAATTAGCAGTTGGCACGCAACATGTGTATGTATATAGGTGTATCCAGCGAAGAATGTCCACTGATCACAGAAACTAGCATAAACTGAGAAGTACATTAACGGATCAATGCTCAGACGGCAATCATCAGTATGCAAAGGCGAAAGTTAAGGTACACAGTGGCTGAAGCACATGCTCACTCAGAGTGGAAATGTTAGGAAGGAACCAGATCAGTATTCGTGTTTGCGCAAAATGTAGTAAAATTATGTGACAGAGATAAAAGGAATTTAGTAGCGGAGAAAATTCCCGATGTGTTCACGTGTGTGCTTTAACGCGTCAAGTAGACCAATCAATACATTTGTGCAAATCAAAAGCAGCAATGACAACGACTGTTAATCGTTTTGGAATAATCGCTGCCTCCCAGTTTATTACCAGTGACCTACTTACACATGAGTGTTTCAAAATAGAGGCAGTGTTGACAGATTGAGCAAGAAATGTCCTGCATCAAACATCTTCTAGACGAAGGAAATTATGCAATGCATTTTATTACTCCAGGCTTTGTCACATCTTGTCAAATGTAGGACAAGGAGTCTACGCATAAATAAAACTGATGAATAAAGCTTGCTTTTTTAACTGATATGTCACTTTTACATTGCTCTTTTTTTCAAGTGCTCAGAAAAATTCACAAAACTGCCATCGAGAGGTTGGAAAGTAAGATTAACCTACTATCTAATACGAACTTCGCACATGTCATTCTTGAAAATCGACTGATGAGAGAAACTGACATCCTTTCTTCATAGATAAATATGTTTAACTGAAATTTGTATGTTGAACAACAGAGACAGGGTTTGTGTGATCATCGTTGGATCACCAATTTACTCATGTCATATCATATCATCTGAAATCACATTTAGTATTTTGAAGGCAATCATGCAGTGCATCACAGACTGGACATTCAACAAAACCCAACCGATGACTTCTTCTCGAGTGAAGACCAGTTGTGGTCAAGTCGATTTGAAGCACCTCAGAAATTCCCAATACACCATCATTCACACCAATAGCCACAGAGACACACGCACATTAGTGCGAATAAATGCGTTTGAGATATCTGAAATATGCAATTGGATGAAGTTGACTGCACTCACTGACTATCTGTCATTCTGGGTGAGGAATGACGTGTCTTCTTCAAGTCAAATTATTCACACCGATAGTGAAGACTGCTCGATTCATTCGTGTTTCTTCCTTTACTCATAACATTCAGCGTTGCTTGCTCTTTCATGAAGTCAATAATGCTCACCATCTTTCATTTTTTCAACAGGAGCGGGAAGAGAAAACTAGAAGAGAATATGAATTTCTTCCTCACACTAGACCGTGAAACGTGTCTTCTGGACATTATTGAAATGTACTGCTGTGCAGTGGATTTCATGAACGCTTTTAATTAAATAATTCACTTTCTTTATAATGTTAACTGTCTGTCTTCTAAATACATTTTAATCACGCAAATATTTAACTTATTCCTACTGGTCAGATGGATTCGGTGTTCTCATACTGAGTCATTAGCACACCAATCGAAGCTAACATATTCACATGTAACTGGGATTTTTTATAATTCAACTTTTCAATTCATCAGTTGGTGAGATTTTCAATTGACAACAGTATCATCGAGATCAGCCAAATTCACTTTATATCATGAGGAGCGTCAGCGCTGCTCATTGGCCTCCTGAGAGGTCGATATAATAAAGACGAAGAATTGGAATTCCATGCATTTGAACGTGATGGGATCGAATAGGCCGCCATGCAACTTGATTTCACCTCCTCATCACTAGGAAAGCAAACATTAGACAGTACTTATCTTAGCTGTATCATTGAAGTAGCATAGTGATGGGTAGAATTACTGATCCCAGTTGCACCAGTTACTTATTCACTAATCTCAAGATTTCTGTAATTTAAAGGCATAACACTAACAGCAGGATAACGAGATAATATTTTCACCGATAGATATTGTCTGCAATGTGAAATTAACATCTCATTTAGAAATTCGAATAGGGAAATGAAGAAAATCAGAGTAAGTGATTCAGCAAAGAGTCTCTTTTCAAACAGTTGATCATCAAGCTGCACCCTCTCATATATGTCTTTCATCCATTCACATTTGGCTTATTTCGTGAATGGCACTACATTGCGATATGGCCTAATTTGAGTCAAACGTAAGAAACTTAGCTTCCCAGCAGTTTGTCTCCTCTCTTCTTCTTCTCGAGTGAAGACCAGTTGTGGTCAAGTCGATTTGAAGCACCTCAGAAATTCCCAATACACCATCATTCACACCAATAGCCACAGAGACACACGCACATTAGTGCGAATAAATGCGTTTGAGATATCTGAAATATGCAATTGGATGAAGTTGACTGCACTCACTGACTATCTGTCATTCTGGGTGAGGAATGACGTGTCTTCTTCAAGTCAAATTATTCACACCGATAGTGAAGACTGCTCGATTCATTCGTGTTTCTTCCTTTACTCATAACATTCAGCGTTGCTTGCTCTTTCATGAAGTCAATAATGCTCACCATCTTTCATTTTTTCAACAGGAGCGGGAAGAGAAAACTAGAAGAGAATATGAATTTCTTCCTCACACTAGACCGTGAAACGTGTCTTCTGGACATTATTGAAATGTACTGCTGTGCAGTGGATTTCATGAACGCTTTTAATTAAATAATTCACTTTCTTTATAATGTTAACTGTCTGTCTTCTAAATACATTTTAATCACGCAAATATTTAACTTATTCCTACTGGTCAGATGGATTCGGTGTTCTCATACTGAGTCATTAGCACACCAATCGAAGCTAACATATTCACATGTAACTGGGATTTTTTATAATTCAACTTTTCAATTCATCAGTTGGTGAGATTTTCAATTGACAACAGTATCATCGAGATCAGCCAAATTCACTTTATATCATGAGGAGCGTCAGCGCTGCTCATTGGCCTCCTGAGAGGTCGATATAATAAAGACGAAGAATTGGAATTCCATGCATTTGAACGTGATGGGATCGAATAGGCCGCCATGCAACTTGATTTCACCTCCTCATCACTAGGAAAGCAAACATTAGACAGTACTTATCTTAGCTGTATCATTGAAGTAGCATAGTGATGGGTAGAATTACTGATCCCAGTTGCACCAGTTACTTATTCACTAATCTCAAGATTTCTGTAATTTAAAGGCATAACACTAACAGCAGGATAACGAGATAATATTTTCACCGATAGATATTGTCTGCAATGTGAAATTAACATCTCATTTAGAAATTCGAATAGGGAAATGAAGAAAATCAGAGTAAGTGATTCAGCAAAGAGTCTCTTTTCAAACAGTTGATCATCAAGCTGCACCCTCTCATATATGTCTTTCATCCATTCACATTTGGCTTATTTCGTGAATGGCACTACATTGCGATATGGCCTAATTTGAGTCAAACGTAAGAAACTTAGCTTCCCAGCAGTTTGTCTCCTCTCTTCTTCTTCTCGAGTGAAGACCAGTTGTGGTCAAGTCGATTTGAAGCACCTCAGAAATTCCCAATACACCATCATTCACACCAATAGCCACAGAGACACACGCACATTAGTGCGAATAAATGCGTTTGAGATATCTGAAATATGCAATTGGATGAAGTTGACTGCACTCACTGACTATCTGTCATTCTGGGTGAGGAATGACGTGTCTTCTTCAAGTCAAATTATTCACACCGATAGTGAAGACTGCTCGATTCATTCGTGTTTCTTCCTTTACTCATAACATTCAGCGTTGCTTGCTCTTTCATGAAGTCAATAATGCTCACCATCTTTCATTTTTTCAACAGGAGCGGGAAGAGAAAACTAGAAGAGAATATGAATTTCTTCCTCACACTAGACCGTGAAACGTGTCTTCTGGACATTATTGAAATGTACTGCTGTGCAGTGGATTTCATGAACGCTTTTAATTAAATAATTCACTTTCTTTATAATGTTAACTGTCTGTCTTCTAAATACATTTTAATCACGCAAATATTTAACTTATTCCTACTGGTCAGATGGATTCGGTGTTCTCATACTGAGTCATTAGCACACCAATCGAAGCTAACATATTCACATGTAACTGGGATTTTTTATAATTCAACTTTTCAATTCATCAGTTGGTGAGATTTTCAATTGACAACAGTATCATCGAGATCAGCCAAATTCACTTTATATCATGAGGAGCGTCAGCGCTGCTCATTGGCCTCCTGAGAGGTCGATATAATAAAGACGAAGAATTGGAATTCCATGCATTTGAACGTGATGGGATCGAATAGGCCGCCATGCAACTTGATTTCACCTCCTCATCACTAGGAAAGCAAACATTAGACAGTACTTATCTTAGCTGTATCATTGAAGTAGCATAGTGATGGGTAGAATTACTGATCCAGTTGCACCAGTTACTTATTCACTAATCTCAAGATTTCTGTAATTTAAAGGCATAACACTAACAGCAGGATAACGAGATAATATTTTCACCGATAGATATTGTCTGCAATGTGAAATTAACATCTCATTTAGAAATTCGAATAGGGAAATGAAGAAAATCAGAGTAAGTGATTCAGCAAAGAGTCTCTTTTCAAACAGTTGATCATCAAGCTGCACCCTCTCATATATGTCTTTCATCCATTCACATTTGGCTTATTTCGTGAATGGCACTACATTGCGATATGGCCTAATTTGAGTCAAACGTAAGAAACTTAGCTTCCCAGCAGTTTGTCTCCTCTCTTCTTCTTCTCGAGTGAAGACCAGTTGTGGTCAAGTCGATTTGAAGCACCTCAGAAATTCCCAATACACCATCATTCACACCAATAGCCACAGAGACACACGCACATTAGTGCGAATAAATGCGTTTGAGATATCTGAAATATGCAATTGGATGAAGTTGACTGCACTCACTGACTATCTGTCATTCTGGGTGAGGAATGACGTGTCTTCTTCAAGTCAAATTATTCACACCGATAGTGAAGACTGCTCGATTCATTCGTGTTTCTTCCTTTACTCATAACATTCAGCGTTGCTTGCTCTTTCATGAAGTCAATAATGCTCACCATCTTTCATTTTTTCAACAGGAGCGGGAAGAGAAAACTAGAAGAGAATATGAATTTCTTCCTCACACTAGACCGTGAAACGTGTCTTCTGGACATTATTGAAATGTACTGCTGTGCAGTGGATTTCATGAACGCTTTTAATTAAATAATTCACTTTCTTTATAATGTTAACTGTCTGTCTTCTAAATACATTTTAATCACGCAAATATTTAACTTATTCCTACTGGTCAGATGGATTCGGTGTTCTCATACTGAGTCATTAGCACACCAATCGAAGCTAACATATTCACATGTAACTGGGATTTTTTATAATTCAACTTTTCAATTCATCAGTTGGTGAGATTTTCAATTGACAACAGTATCATCGAGATCAGCCAAATTCACTTTATATCATGAGGAGCGTCAGCGCTGCTCATTGGCCTCCTGAGAGGTCGATATAATAAAGACGAAGAATTGGAATTCCATGCATTTGAACGTGATGGGATCGAATAGGCCGCCATGCAACTTGATTTCACCTCCTCATCACTAGGAAAGCAAACATTAGACAGTACTTATCTTAGCTGTATCATTGAAGTAGCATAGTGATGGGTAGAATTACTGATCCCAGTTGCACCAGTTACTTATTCACTAATCTCAAGATTTCTGTAATTTAAAGGCATAACACTAACAGCAGGATAACGAGATAATATTTTCACCGATAGATATTGTCTGCAATGTGAAATTAACATCTCATTTAGAAATTCGAATAGGGAAATGAAGAAAATCAGAGTAAGTGATTCAGCAAAGAGTCTCTTTTCAAACAGTTGATCATCAAGCTGCACCCTCTCATATATGTCTTTCATCCATTCACATTTGGCTTATTTCGTGAATGGCACTACATTGCGATATGGCCTAATTTGAGTCAAACGTAAGAAACTTAGCTTCCCAGCAGTTTGTCTCCTCTCTTCTTCTTCTCGAGTGAAGACCAGTTGTGGTCAAGTCGATTTGAAGCACCTCAGAAATTCCCAATACACCATCATTCACACCAATAGCCACAGAGACACACGCACATTAGTGCGAATAAATGCGTTTGAGATATCTGAAATATGCAATTGGATGAAGTTGACTGCACTCACTGACTATCTGTCATTCTGGGTGAGGAATGACGTGTCTTCTTCAAGTCAAATTATTCACACCGATAGTGAAGACTGCTCGATTCATTCGTGTTTCTTCCTTTACTCATAACATTCAGCGTTGCTTGCTCTTTCATGAAGTCAATAATGCTCACCATCTTTCATTTTTTCAACAGGAGCGGGAAGAGAAAACTAGAAGAGAATATGAATTTCTTCCTCACACTAGACCGTGAAACGTGTCTTCTGGACATTATTGAAATGTACTGCTGTGCAGTGGATTTCATGAACGCTTTTAATTAAATAATTCACTTTCTTTATAATGTTAACTGTCTGTCTTCTAAATACATTTTAATCACGCAAATATTTAACTTATTCCTACTGGTCAGATGGATTCGGTGTTCTCATACTGAGTCATTAGCACACCAATCGAAGCTAACATATTCACATGTAACTGGGATTTTTTATAATTCAACTTTTCAATTCATCAGTTGGTGAGATTTTCAATTGACAACAGTATCATCGAGATCAGCCAAATTCACTTTATATCATGAGGAGCGTCAGCGCTGCTCATTGGCCTCCTGAGAGGTCGATATAATAAAGACGAAGAATTGGAATTCCATGCATTTGAACGTGATGGGATCGAATAGGCCGCCATGCAACTTGATTTCACCTCCTCATCACTAGGAAAGCAAACATTAGACAGTACTTATCTTAGCTGTATCATTGAAGTAGCATAGTGATGGGTAGAATTACTGATCCCAGTTGCACCAGTTACTTATTCACTAATCTCAAGATTTCTGTAATTTAAAGGCATAACACTAACAGCAGGATAACGAGATAATATTTTCACCGATAGATATTGTCTGCAATGTGAAATTAACATCTCATTTAGAAATTCGAATAGGGAAATGAAGAAAATCAGAGTAAGTGATTCAGCAAAGAGTCTCTTTTCAAACAGTTGATCATCAAGCTGCACCCTCTCATATATGTCTTTCATCCATTCACATTTGGCTTATTTCGTGAATGGCACTACATTGCGATATGGCCTAATTTGAGTCAAACGTAAGAAACTTAGCTTCCCAGCAGTTTGTCTCCTCTCTTCTTCTTCTCGAGTGAAGACCAGTTGTGGTCAAGTCGATTTGAAGCACCTCAGAAATTCCCAATACACCATCATTCACACCAATAGCCACAGAGACACACGCACATTAGTGCGAATAAATGCGTTTGAGATATCTGAAATATGCAATTGGATGAAGTTGACTGCACTCACTGACTATCTGTCATTCTGGGTGAGGAATGACGTGTCTTCTTCAAGTCAAATTATTCACACCGATAGTGAAGACTGCTCGATTCATTCGTGTTTCTTCCTTTACTCATAACATTCAGCGTTGCTTGCTCTTTCATGAAGTCAATAATGCTCACCATCTTTCATTTTTTCAACAGGAGCGGGAAGAGAAAACTAGAAGAGAATATGAATTTCTTCCTCACACTAGACCGTGAAACGTGTCTTCTGGACATTATTGAAATGTACTGCTGTGCAGTGGATTTCATGAACGCT